TATTGGTCTGTAATTCTCCTTTTTGATGGGGTCTTTGTCTGGTTTGGGGATCAAGGTAATGGTGAGGCCTAGGAATTTCTATAAAATGTTTGTTTCAAAAATAAAAATAAAGATTTTTGGAAGTTTCTAGAGCAAACCAACATAAGGAGATTTGTTACCAGAGATTTCTTAAATACTAATTTGGTATTAAAAAAGCAGAAATTTGGGGCACCTCGGTGGCTCAGTTGTTAAGCATCTGCCTTCGGCTCAGGTCATGATCCCAGGGTCCTGGGATGGAGCCCCTCATTGGGCTTCCTGCTCCACAGGAAGCCTGCTTCTTCCTCTCCCACTCCCCCTGCTTGTGTTCCCTCTCTGGTTATGTCTCTCTGTCAAATAAATAAATAAAATCTTTAACAAAATAAAAATACTAAAAAGCAGAAATTTTATGAATATATGAGCAAACTCTCCCTGTCCCTAATAGTGTTTTCTCCAGTCAAGTAATATTGCCATGAATGTTTATAGATTGTATATTTCAATTGTTTTATAGTGTACTGCCATTTGTCTGCTTGTTCTACCTCTGTTTATTTTATTCTTTACTTTCTTAATGATTTTGGCCACCAAAATGGAAAAAAAAATCCAGTGGATTAAAAGGGGATTTTTAAAGTATAGTGGAGAACAGATGTAAATTCTTTAAAGTAACCACTCATCCAGTCCCTGAAATAGAATCCTAAAAATACAGATGGCCTACATTCTGACTTACATTATAACTTTTGTCCCTGCTGTCATGAACTGTGTAAAACATTAAGCATTAGTGTGTTGAGAAGAAATGCTTCAACATACTCTTTTTCTGTAAGAGCTCGTTGTTTGTGGTTCTTATTGTTTTGTTTTACCCCATTTGGTGGTAGAAATGGTGGGAAGGTGTTACAGGGAGAACAGAAAATCATGTTTTTTGTAGGAAAGGGATGAAGTCACTCCAACAGTATTGCACAGAAATTTAATTTGCCAGATATTAAAATTGAAGAGGAAAATATCTATTAGTGAGGGAATGGTTAAAAAAATTAAGGTGTTTATAGAAGTGATATACTATGCAATTATTTAAAAAAAGAGTACTGATACTTACAAATAAGAAATGAGACAAAAATCTGTGTGAGCAGGGATTCCTGGGTGGCTCAGTCAGTTAAGCGTCTGCCTTTGGCTCAGGTCATGATCCCAGGATCCTGGGATCGAGTCCTGCATCCGGCTCCCTGCTCAGCTTCTCCCTCTGCCTGCCTGCCACTCCCCCTGCTTGTGTATGCTCTCTCTCTCTGACAAATAAATTTAAAAAAAATTTAAAAAAAAAATCTGTGCAAGCAAAGTCCTAGATGTGTGTGGGATAACTTACATGTGAAGATGGGGAGGATACTTGCTTGTCTTTGCATAAAAGAAAACTCTGGATGAATATATAAGTAACAAAAAAGGGTGATTTTCAGTGAGAAGGGTCTCACTCGAGGGAAACAGGATAGATGAGGGAGGAAGGTGGAAGGAAAACTTACTATTGAATACTTTGCTGCTTTAGTTTTCTCATCCACAAAGTTGGTTCTTGTAAAAGGCTTACAACAATATCTATCATATAGTAAGCTGCTGGTATCATTATTAGCGGTCGAAGTGTTAAAGAACAGTAATTCTCATTTTGCATCTCAGGTGTCTCATTTTTTCACATTTGTAAAAGTATTAGAAACACCCGATGCTTTCTTTGGTCTCTATACTATCACATTTTAACTGAAGTGGCTGATAAAGGCATGTGGAGTTTGAGTCTCCTTGTTTCTCTTGGCCTAGGGATTGAGAGCCTGGTCTCAGAAGCGGACAGAACTGAGTCTGACTCCCCCACCCCAGCACTTGCCAGAGCATGTTTTTTTATTAGGTGCTATAAGGGAGGCAGAGATGTTTGTGCTGCATTGAATAGGTTTCCTTGATGGGAAAGGCACTATCCTGACATCTGGATTGAAGATGCATGCTGTGTTCTGAAAGGCTAGGAAGGGAGATCATTCATTTGTTCATTTATTCATTCAGTTTTATATTAATTTCTCTGGTCTAAATCTGCATTTAGGCAGATCTCATTTCTTTT